TTTTTAGTGCACACAATCGAAAGATCACTTTATTACAAAGAATACACCCTCCCGGCCTTCCTGGACATCGAGGGTGCTTTCAACAATGTATCTCCAGCAGCGATTTTCTTATCTCTGATAAATCTGGGCGTAAGCAATTCACTAACCTCATCGGCCGAGAAATAAGCGCAGGATTAGGCGAATATGTAATAAAAAGGTTCCCCGTCAGGGGTACACCCCAGGGGGGAGTAATATCACCGCTCCTGTGGAACATAGCAGTAGACAGCCTTCTTCGGGAACTTGAAGACTGTGGTGTAACAGGCGAGGACTGGGAGTGAATCCTGAAAAAAACAGACCTTGTGCTGTTCACCAGGAAGCACAAGATACCAGATCTCGGGAACATAACTCTAGAAGGCAACACCCTCGCAATAAAGGAAGAGACCAAATATCTAGGTCTCATAGTAGATAGGAAACTAAACTGGGGGCCCACCGTTGCAGATAGAGTGCGCAAAGCAACAGTGGCACTATATTCTTGCAGCAGAGCAATAGCGAAAAAATTGGGGATGGAACCCAAAATAACACACTGGCTATACACGGCGGTAGTTAGGCCAATTCTCTATCACGGTATAGTGGTATGGTGGAACACCCTTGGGAAAGGGGTAGACTTCAAAAAAATGGACAAGGTTCAAAGGCTTGCGTCAACACTCATAACTGGTGCGATGAGAACAACACCATCCAAGGCACTGTATGCCCTACTGAATATTCTTCCGGTGGACCTACATGCCAAACAAGTCGCAAGTGGCGCGGCAATTCGAATGAACATTCTAACTAAGTGGTCAAATACCAGCTATGGTCACGGTAGAATATTAACGGAGTTTCCGGGGTTTCCCGGATTGGTGGACTTTGTACTTCCGTTACCTACACCCGCTACAGCATTCGCGACCCTCCTACCCTCAAGGGAAGAGTGGAAGCATGACGTTGTAAGTAGTGGAGAGTCCATCCATGTATACACAGATGGCTCAAAGCTAGATGGAAGGGTTTGAGGAGGTGTATACTCCCATCACCTGGGAATCTCCCTCAGCTTTCGTCTCCCGGACCACTGTAGCATTTTTCAGGCTGAACTGATGGCAATCGACAGGGCTGGTAAAGTGTGACATGATACCCCAAGTTGATATCTATATCTTCACTGACAGCCAGGCGGCAATAAAGTCCCTCACGAAGCAGTCGACAACCTCCATTGTAGCCATGAAATGTCGCACATCTCTTAACGAGATGGCTGAGTCATTTCGCCCAAAGGTAATATCGGTTCCGGGACACTGCGGCATAGAGGGGAATTGTAAGGCCGACGAACTGGGGCGACTTGGCACGAAACTTCCTTTTGAGGATATAAACGACGAAATAGGAATACCCTTGCAAACTTGTAAGCTACTTATCTCCGAGAGGCTCACTAAAGTAGCGAGCGAAAGGTGGCAGGACGAAATCACCTGTAAAACTGCCACGTAATTATCGCCGGTGCTCAGCGCCAAACGCACTGGCCTACTACTGAGTCTAAATAAGTCCAATATTGGATTATTAGTATCCGTAATAACAGGACACTGCCTAATTGGCAAGCACGCCTATCGACTTGGCCTACATTTACATGACTTCTGTAGAAGTTGTCAATATGAAGAGGAGGAGGAAACGATTCTGCACTTGTTGTGCCAATGCCCTGCTCTATCTAGACGAAGACTCTCCACTTTCGGTAGGCAATTCTTCGACAACTCGGAGGACCTTAGATGCGTCAAAACACAGGGATCTTCTAAAATTCGTTCAAAGTTCAAAATGGTTTTAGGAGGGATTGGGAGTTGCTGACGCAACATGCGGCATCACAATGGGCCCTGAGCCTAAGTGTGTCTTATAGACGACCGCGACAACCTAACCTAACCTCAGCAGGAACAGCACAATGTACAGCTGGTTGAACAAAGTGAAAGTTTTATAGAAATGTATGAATTTTGTTAACAACATACATACTTACAAATCGCAATGTTAAATCGTACACTAATACGGCGGTACAATGCACCAAGACCAACAAACATGGTTGTTGACTCCTCACCTAGCAATAAGGCACAATGCAGCAGGAACAGGCTTCCAACTCGGTTGGTGAATCACCTAGCAATAAGGTGGCAAAATGCAGCAGGAACAGCACAATGTAAAGCTGGTTGAATAAAGTCAAAGTTTTATAGAAATGTATGAATTTTGTTCACAACATACGTACTTAAAAATCGCAATGTTAAATCATACACCAATACGGTGGTACAATGCAGCAAGAGCAACAAGCTTGGTTGTTGATTCACCTAGCAATAAGGTGGCACAATGCAGCAGGAACAGGCTTCCAACTCGGTTGGTGAATCACCTATCAATAAGGTGGCACAATGCAGCAGGAACAGCACAATGTAGAGCTGGTTGAATAAAGTGAAAGTTTTATAGAAATGTATGAATTTTGTTAACAACATACATACTTACAAATCGCAATGTTAAATCGTACACCAATATGGCGGTACAATGCACCAAGAGCAGCAAACTTGGTTGTTGACTCACCTAGCAATAAGGTGGCACAATGCAGCGGGAACAGCCTTCCAACTTGCTGTTGGGATGTTGAATTACCAAGCACTATGGTGATATGTTGCACCAAGAACTGCACAGTGTAGAGCTGGTTGAGCAAAAACGCAACAGTTAACAGAAAATGTATAAATTGTAAGCACGTACACACTTACAAATCGCAATGTTGAATTTCAAACCAATACGTGGTGCGTTACAGCAGGAACAGCAGCAAGGCGCTTTTTAAATGCTCTGGAATATTTAATTGGGGCTAGTTAAGGAAAAAGTATTACTTTAACAAAAAATTTCGAAAATATAAAACAGATAACTTACCGACGCAAATAAAACTTCCGAAAATTTTCTCGCAATTTATTGAAAGAACGCAGGCGAATGTCAAAGTAAAAAAAGAAAACAGAGAAACAGTGTTGCCTACACTATATTTCTTATCGGAAACACAAATAGGAAGAACAATTTAGTAAGCAACAATTAAATATATGATGGCCAATTTTGTCAAATGCGACGCCATATTGGATTACTGATATCACCTTATTTTTATTTCACCATGATCCAACATGGCAAGAAAGACCATAAACAGAAGAAAATTTCTGAAAGAACTAGGATTACCATTAGCACAGCCTTATATGGCTGGAGTTAGTAAACCAAAGGCAGAAACTGCAGCCCGTCTGCTCACAGATATATCGTTAGACTCACCTTCGTGTTCATCAAATCCACCAAAGCCACCAAAAATCGTCCCATCACAAAAAAAAGGAAGGCCCAGACTCTAAAAACAATAGGGGTATTCTCGAAGTCTTGCACGATGCACGGATTGCACGAAATGCAAAAATACTGTTCCAAATTTCGAAGAGTATGAGAGCACCCCATTGCAAAGTGGTAGCATGCATGGGTAGCAAGCAGCGAAATTATGTATCAAATACAATAACAAGAGACAGCCTTGTTCATACAAGGCCAATAATACTTCTTCACCATTAATCGGCGTGTAGCCTTGGTACCAGGATGAGCAATTCCATGTAACATATCGAACACTGTCCTGCGCAAATTATTTGGAACGAAAGGTCTAGGACTTTCTCCTCACACTTCACACCAAATATTAAAATTTAGAACAGGAATTTTAATTAAATTAAGATTTTGAAACGTTTGTCCAGATATAAGTTTATCAAGTTCACTGTTCTGTTGCTGTTCACTCTGTAAAATTTTGAAATTAAGTTCTGAATTTTTAATCTCATCTACTTCAAACGCACGAGATAACGTGTCAGCTACAATGTTTGCCTGTCCTTTTATATACTGTATGTCACTAGTAAACTGTGCAATAAACTCAAGATGTCTTGTCTGCCTTAGACTACGCTCAGTTTTGGAATTTAGAGCAAAAATCAAGGGTTTGTGGTCAGTAAAAACCGAAAATGTTTAATATTCAAATAAATTGCTAAAAGTTCCCTGTCAAAAGCACTATATTTCATTTCTGCTGGAGAGAGTTTCTTTGAAAAGAACGCAAGTGATTCAGACTTATTATTGAAATGCTGCTGTATGACACCACCAATTTCCGTAGTGGATGCATCTACCGTTAAAGACAATTTTGCATCTTTGATAAAATGATTTAGCAAAATCTTAGATGCAAACTTCTCTTTAATGCATTCAAAAGCGTTAATGGATTTGTCATCCCAAACCAAAATTTTGCCTCGCTTTTTACTTGTTTTATTAATTAGATCATATATAACTCCAGTAAACTCAGCTAATTTTGAAATATATCTATGGTAATAGTTAACCATACCAATAAACTTTTGCGCTTGTTTTATTGACTTCGGTCGTTCAAAATTGCAATTCGCTTCTACTCTGTTTACAGAAGGCTGCATCCCTGCCTCAGATAAACAATGTCCTAAAAAATCTATACTTAAAACACCAAAAATGCATTTGCTTGGTTTGACGTTCAAACCATACTCAGACAAACGTTCGAGAAGTACACGTAGATCCTTTAAATGTTGTTCTTCATTCTCACTTGCAACCAGCAGATCATCAATATACGCGAAAACAAAATCTAATTTACCTACTACTTCGTTGATGAATCTCTGAAACGTTTGCGCTGAGTTCTTCAGCCCGAAAGGCATTCGGGTGAACTCAAACATACCGAAAGGGGTAGTAATCGCCGTTTTAAAAATGTCTTCTTCTGCCATTGGAATTTGGTGATACGCTCTAACTAAATAAAGTTTTGAAAATATATTTTTATTCCTAAGATTCATATTAAAATCGTGAATATGAGGCAAAGGATAACGATCCGGTACAGTCACAGTATTAAGTCTTCTAAAATCACCACAAGGACGCCAGTCATTAACTTCTTTCTTTGGTACTAAATGAAGTGGAGATGCCACGGATGAATTTGATGGTCTACAAATCCCTGTTTTTACTAAAAAATCGAATTCAGTTTTACCTACTTTAAATTTGATGGGATACTTGGCTATCCGATTGTCAGACGTTGCGTATGGATTTGTAAGTTCTTCCGGATGTATGTTTTTTTGTAAATCAATAAGCGAATCGTGTAAACTATTTGTTCGTGTAGTTGTATGTGTGTCTGGGTGTGGTGAACGGAACATAATGATAATTTCAAACAAAAATCTCTAAAAAGAGGTGTTTACAACTAACAAAATATTTCAATTATATGATATAATAATAATATATTAAAATTGTACTAAATTATAGTCAAAACAATTATCAAAGATCTGAAATGGTTAATATGCTGCTTAATGAACAGCACAGTCAAATATAAATTTAGGCAACAATTCAAACATTTAAAAAATTTAAAGTAAAATATATGAAATATAAGATATTTATTAAATTCATTTTAACATATATATATATATAGAATCGTTACCTCTATATGTCTTTATTAACTTAGAAATTAAACAAATATAAGTTACTTTAATACACGGAAAATTCTGACTTTACTAGTTCTAGTTGGTTTCAGTTAGTACAAACGAATGTCAAACAGCTCTGTTCGTCTACTGCGGCTTTTGGTGTTGCCACTTACTACTGCGACAAGTGTTAGGGTTGGTCCCTACACCACCCCCTTCCAGACTTAGCACCGGAGAAACGTAAACAGGTTAACTGTGTATGTTGGTGATGTATCGCTGCTAACTCTTCCCTGGGGAAGTAAGCCGGCTTAAGTCTATCAATGGACACCGTCACTTGTCTTGATCCAATCAATATTGTATACGTCTTGGGGTACCTGTTAACTACTAGGTACGGCCCCTCGTACGGCGATTTCAAAGGCTTACGGATAGTGTCATCACGTAAAAACACGTGACTGCAGAATCTCAGGTCTTTTGGCACGAAAACGGCATGCTCTCCATGCTGTGAAGTTGGCGTTGGCCTAGCCATTTCGAAATGCTGTCGCAAATCCCGCAGGAAACTCTGCTCATCTACAGGCGTGTTGTCATCGGC